GATACAATATACTGGAAGTGATTTCTCTGGGGACAGAAATTTCAAGGGCTGTCCCTGCTTTTGCTTTATAATAATACAAAAATTTGAAATCTGAAATGCTCCAAAATCCAAAACATTTGAGCTCCAACACATGCCAATAAGTGGAAAATTTCACCACTGACCTCAAGTGACAGGTCATAGTCAAAACTTTTGTTTTATGTACAAAATTATTAAAAAATATTGTCTAAAAAAAGCATCAGCTATGTGTTTAAGGTATATATGAAGCATAAATGAGTTTTGTGTTTAAACTTGGTTCCCATCCCCAAGACATTTCATTATGTTTATCTAAATATTCTAAAATCCAAAAACAATTTTTAAAAGAATCTAAAGTCTGAAACACGTCTGGTCACAAGCATTTTAGACAAGGGATACTCAATGTTTAACTACGTATTTTCTTGCTTTGAATGACTCAGCCCACCCTTTTATACTTCTTTCTCTCCATATATTAATACATTTAAGCCTGCTACTTCCAAATTATGCTGAACTAAGACTTTCTCTGTCTCTCTCAATAAGAATGAGCAAAAGCACTTTGTGGTGGTTTATATCTATAAAAGATAACTGCCTTTCTCTTAGTCTCTAATTGTTGGAAAAGCTTTGCTCAAGCTTCTGGGTACTATCTAAATATTCCAGTACCAGAATAGGATATGTTATCTCAGTCATTTCAGTAATGTCTGACTGCATTATGAATTGTCACGTGCTGAGTTTTAAATGATGGTCCAAATAAACATAAGTTAAATTCTTTATTTCTCACTTCAAGAGTTTAGTGACAATGACAAAAAAACTATAAATTGGATCACATTTGAGTTTTTCTGAAAATCTTTCAAAAGTAGACTTCATAATGAGGTAATTGCATCAGAATTTCAGGGGTTAAGGCCTAAGTGTTAATATTTTTAATATTTCCCAAGATATTCTGATATCTAGTAGCACAAGGAACATTGCCCAGAGTATAGCTAAAAATTAATTTCTAAAACAGATAACTCAGTAGGTCATTTCCTTAGTCCAGCATTACTATAATTATTAAAATCTACCACATGACTTCTTTAGTCAGATCATGGGCTACAGAAGAAAATTGGGCACCTTGATTTTTTTTAAGAATTTATATCAAATTAGTTTAAAAACATTTCAAGAGAGTATTTTCAAATTAAATTTAAACAATAATCCATCTCATCTAACTAGCAACATTATTCATTATATTTCATATCTTTCCAATATTAAGTTGTGAGGAATGTAGGGTAGGAAACATAATTTCCTCCTCCATCTTTCATTAGTTCTTAGCTAGGAATCTCTGTAATAAATGACAGATTAGCAAGAGAAAAACAGAAGTTTAATAACATGTATACCTCCTCTATACGTGGGAGGTAACCCAAAGAAGTGATTAAATTCCTAGAGTAGATCTCAAAGAGCTGTCTTAGACATCAAATGTAAATACCATCATTCTTTGAAACAAAGGAAGAGGGTGTAAGAAAAGGCCTTGTTAAGAGAGATGGCCAGGAAAAGCAAAACAAAGGTAAGGCTTGTTGTACAGACGTAAGTCAATTCTTCTCCACTGATTAAGAGTCTCAGGAGATTTAGTCATCCTTCTCTTTCTGGTGCAGAGAGAGAAAGAGAGAGAGAGAGAAAGGAGAGAGAGGAAGAGAGACCTTTACTAATGGAGAGTTCCTTTATAGATGTAGATTTCTCTTACGAAAAGGCGACCTCCAGCCTTGTTTTCAGAGATACTCCTATGTCTACAGTTTCTCAAAATAACCAGCTCAAAATAATCCTATGCACTGTAGGAGACCAGAATTGGGGTGGCATATTCTGACCCCCTAAAGTCATATTTCAGGATGACATGTTCTGAGC